ATATATACATATTTATATATATATATGTATAAATATATGCATATTTATAGATATCATTTTTCTTTAGGTCACGACTTACATTGCACAAATAGTAATTGTCACCCCATATGACTTTCAGGTTCAGCTTTGTAATCTTGCATAGTAAGAATATAAGGCACGACACTAGCTACGCTTACCCTACCGATAAGACCTGCGAAAAACAAATCTTCCAATACTCTAGGGTTAATCGAACGAAGTGGCGCGAGCCTCAAAAGAAGGCGAGGTAATCTATCGGATCCCACACGTTGTTGTAATTCTGTCCACGCAGCTTCTTGTAGAACTTCAACCTTTTTACGCCAAACACCGCCCAAGATATTGTCTAGAAATAAATGATGACTTTCAAACTAAACAATTTCCCTTGAGATAAATTACGCCCCACTTACCAGCACTGAAGAGCGTCAATGCTTTCAAATACGCGTATTCAACAGAATCCACTTGCAACTTATGAAGTGAACTAACACAATCTTGTAATCTACATATATGTTCCGTGACTGATTTTACTTTGCTTGCAGTTATTTGTTCCTGTGCAATACTAGCTTGCAAATGATTTATTATTGATGTTAAAATACTTGGAAGGGATAAAGTGTATGCGCATTGTGCAAGACCAAGCGTGAACAGCTGTCCCCAAGAACTGCGCACTAACGTTGTTTGAACTTCAGATCTGTAAATGCAAACGATATTATTCGACGTTCGTCTTCGTGATCATGCTTAATGATAATCGTACTCTTTGTTTACGCACGGTAATGCTTGAAATGCAGGAATTCCTCGTGCCCAATGAACCGATAGAAAAAGCAATCTAGCGGCACTCTCGCAAATATAGTGTATCGATAAGTACGCAGGAGCCGGGCTTGGAGCTCTTAACTCAAACAGTGTATGTCTTTCAGAAATTAATTGACCGGTCCATACTTCTTCCGGCTCACTCGAACCGTTAACGCTCTATATTACAGAATTAACAACGATACACACATACGGTACTCTGTTCCACAAATCTATTACCTCGAATAAACAAAACTTACTTCACTACACATAAGTTTGGCCATGCTATCCAGTGCATGTGAAATAAGTAGACGTTCCCTTGCATCACTGAGATCACTATCGCTACTTTGGTCTTCCATATTGGGGCTGTCAGGTTGTTCCCAAGTTGGAAGTGTTTCAGACACTGGTTGTTGTGGTTCTGGTTTAACTCTAGGACTCCTATTTCCTACTTTTGTTCCTGTCGCTTCACCTAACACTGGTTTTCTCTCATGTTGGACAGCTACGTTACATTTATCTTAATAACTGAATAAAAAATATGTAAATATTTCATTTAATATTTTAGATCAACTCACAATCACTCCTCATGCCCATGGCTAGACATTTCTGAAGTCGGCAATACTGGCAACGATTACGGTGATGTTTAGTGACTTCACAACTCTTACTGCCTCTGCATTGGTAACCCAATTGTTTCCGAATGCTGCGTTTAAAGAATCCCTTGCAGCCCTCGCAACTTATTGCCCCATAATGTCTCCCGCTGGCCCTGTCTCCGCAAACCACGCACAATTCCAGAGACAATCCTAAGCCCAATGAACTGCGAACATCCCTTGCTAATTTTACCTGTACAACATCGGAATATAAAGACAAATATAAGCTAAATAGTATTTAAACAATAGTAAACAACAGTAAATAAGCAAGTACAAGCATTATACCTCTACGTCCACGTTATTTAAATGCTCAATTCCAGAGTGAAGATGAACCATGCCTGCGTGAGACCCCAAATTACGAAAATCTCGTCCCATTTTATGATCGAGTTTATCATCGTGTACATTATCGACATTATTTTGATCTCTGTCCATGTCTCTCTAAAAGTATACAAGAAGTACACAAAAGATTATTTAAGAAACAAGCATCTATTTTCTATTTCCGTTAAAATGAATACACCGAAAACGTACCATAGCGGGATGGTTCGCTAGATTATGAAAATTTCTTCCTATAGTTTGATCTACTTTGTCATCGTGGAAATTCTCAATATGGTCGTTTTGATCAACTTCCATATCCCGCTATAATAAGAGAACGAACAGTTCATACATCTCGATTAGATCGATGATTTCGGATTCACTTTAAAAGAGTATTATTAAACACCTCTGTTTCGGTATCGGTTGCGTGCTCCACGCCATGGTGACGAGATAAATTAAGAAAGTCCATTCCCACTTTTCGTTCCTCTTCGTTTTCATTCAAATTCTCGTGATCGCGCTGTTCCTTATGACCTCTGTCCATTTCTCTCTGCAAGCAACAACGAACAAAATTCGTGTTAAATAGCATAACTCGTAAAATACTTCTATGACGTCATAATNATATTTTAGATCAACTCACAATCACTCCTCATGCCCATGGCTAGACATTTCTGAAGTCGGCAATACTGGCAACGATTACGGTGATGTTTAGTGACTTCACAACTCTTACTGCCTCTGCATTGGTAACCCAATTGTTTCCGAATGCTGCGTTTAAAGAATCCCTTGCAGCCCTCGCAACTTATTGCCCCATAATGTCTCCCGCTGGCCCTGTCTCCGCAAACCACGCACAATTCCAGAGACAATCCTAAGCCCAATGAACTGCGAACATCCCTTGCTAATTTTACCTGTACAACATCGGAATATAAAGACAAATATAAGCTAAATAGTATTTAAACAATAGTAAACAACAGTAAATAAGCAAGTACAAGCATTATACCTCTACGTCCACGTTATTTAAATGCTCAATTCCAGAGTGAAGATGAACCATGCCTGCGTGAGACCCCAAATTACGAAAATCTCGTCCCATTTTATGATCGAGTTTATCATCGTGTACATTATCGACATTATTTTGATCTCTGTCCATGTCTCTCTAAAAGTATACAAGAAGTACACAAAAGATTATTTAAGAAACAAGCATCTATTTTCTATTTCCGTTAAAATGAATACACCGAAAACGTACCATAGCGGGATGGTTCGCTAGATTATGAAAATTTCTTCCTATAGTTTGATCTACTTTGTCATCGTGGAAATTCTCAATATGGTCGTTTTGATCAACTTCCATATCCCGCTATAATAAGAGAACGAACAGTTCATACATCTCGATTAGATCGATGATTTCGGATTCACTTTAAAAGAGTATTATTAAACACCTCTGTTTCGGTATCGGTTGCGTGCTCCACGCCATGGTGACGAGATAAATTAAGAAAGTCCATTCCCACTTTTCGTTCCTCTTCGTTTTCATTCAAATTCTCGTGATCGCGCTGTTCCTTATGACCTCTGTCCATTTCTCTCTGCAAGCAACAACGAACAAAATTCGTGTTAAATAGCATAACTCGTAAAATACTTCTATGACGTCATAATATAATACGTATTTAGAATATAATTGAATATGAAAACTAGGAACATTGCTTAAATCTCATTAATATTAAAGCCGATATATTTTTTATATAGACATTTTTTTAGGACAACATTTGGAGACCATTCGATAGTTTTAGCGTTAATGATGTTTAAAATTAATGACGGAACGAGAAATAATTTAAGTAACTCTATTCACATGCATGCATTGATTCATACATTTTCTTTGTTAAAAAAAATGAAAATATCTTTATCCTTGTTTTTTAAAAATGTGTAATTCACATAATGTGTGGACATTGCGCAACATGTAAATAAGGATTAGCAACCATTACATCAACAAAGACCGTATAAATCGTGATTATATTTTTGTTCATACGGCGTAGCTTCATCTAACTGAAGTAAACAATGAAACCACTACGAATTATGGTAATATAAATTAGACAATTGAAAATTTACAGGAGATTTATATAACTTAAATTATGATGTATACAATTCGAATTATGAGTAAAATTGCTTTACGAGTTACTTAGTAGAACGTGATGTTGTATTAAAATTTGTTAAAAAGGATGATATTGAATAGAGTTCTGCGCTCTTTGTTTTATACCATCAAGATATGTTTTATCTCAACCTGGCAGATAGAAAATATCGTTTAAAAGCCTAAGCATCGGAGCGGTATAAAAATGAAAACTGGAGCATTTGCCGCCCGTTCCTACCTGCCGCAACCCTCTCCTTCTACCATTTTAACAAGTGAAAGAGATGGTCCCGAGCTGCTCGGTTCGTAGGTTGCTACGTGGTTAAGCGCATGCCATAGCCATGCTACACTGGCTTGCACTGGCTTGTCTCAAAGATGCCAGGTTGAGAACGGGAGCCACCGAGAATCAGCCCCTCCACTTACGCACACTATCGCACCGTGTGCTCCGAGTTCGGCTCAGCTCGGCTCAGTAGAGAGAGAAGACGAAGCATCAGTTTGTCGTTCTTGCTCCTGATGCGTTCGACTTCAAACGGCGCGCAGCCGACTGACGACTGTTGGAACTCTCAATTCCCGTCCTTCTTCGCATTATAAGTTAATGTTAGCCGACAATTTGTATTGTAACCCTGCTAAGAAGCAGAGCAGTAGATTACGGTTGCATGCCGTAGATATTTAGGATCTCGCAAATTTTCTCCCTTCGACCAAATTAATGATG